CTTTGAGACGTCAGATCTAAGATCAAATGTTGAGTAACTCTCTTGATCAAAATTGGACGGTTAAATGGTAGGGGAAGCATAGATCTTCTATGTAGTAGGGGAAGTATAGAAGCATTTCCCTTATCTATATCCTTTTGGGCTTTCTTCTTGTCTTTTTAGAGCTTTCCATTTGAACCGCATCACCCCTTCTAACTGGTGTTGTTCTAGGTTAACACTACATACTAAGTGTTAGAAATATCGTCCTAAACTGAGACTTTCATATATTAAATATCTATTGACTTAAACACAAGTTTAAAAAGAATCTCTAGTTTTATGAAACCCAATAATAGCTTCTGCCTTTTATGGAATTGATATAAATGGTTCTTTAGCTTTGTTCCAAAACATTTTTTTGGAAAACTTCTCTATATTTTCATGTGGTTCAAAATTCCTTTTTTTTTTTGTTTTTTCTAAACTTTTTCTATCATCATTAGTTTGAAATCTTTGAATTTTGTATTTTTAGATAAGCTTACTAAAAGATGGATTAAATCAAGAATATTGATTTAACTAAAAACTTCATTAAAAAGATAACCAATATATTCCTAAATATTGTAGCTTCCAAAAAAAAAAAAAGTTGTTTTCCCCAAATATTCACAATTTATTAATAAAAAAAAAAAAATCTCACAAAAAGTCATGCTCGAAAAAAATAAAAAAAGAGAAAAGAAGAAGAAAAAGGAGGTACAGTAGACTTACCTAATAAAAATCATTTTCCTTTCTCCAAAAGCATAATTTCGAAGAGGATTCAGTGGGAGTAATTTGTTTTGCTATAGGCCTTCTATTACTTTATTTCTATGTAATTAGCTTTGATTAAATTTAAACTTTCAAGGGGTCTTTGTCCTTTCTATGGTGTACCTAATAACAATTTGGACATGCTGCTATTTCATAAATTTTTATTTTTGGTTTTATTGATTGCAATCATATATTGAGTTTTTTTTTTGTTTTTTGCTTACAACAAATCTATACTTCGAATTGTTGTTGTTATTTGCTAACAAATTGTTGTGTGTAATACTTTTGTTGTCTTTTATTTTATTTTTTATTATTTTTATTTTTATTTTTATTTTTCTGAACAGTAACGTAAGACTTTCCGTTAATTAGAATGTAAAATACAAAATGTTCTATCAAAAAGCACAAGAAAGAAGTGACCACCAAAGAGGGAGCATGAACTCCTCCTTTGGCAAGGATGTCGGCCTCTTCATTAGCCTCCCCTATAGCAATGTTGTACAGTTACCGAAGAGGTTGATAGAATATCCCAAATCTGATGAAAAATAGTCTTTAATCTCTAAATAATATGGGTCTCCCTCTTACTCCAAGCAATGACATTTGTCGAGTCTCCTTTGATAACCATACCCCCTTCAAAAGTAGATAGCAATTTCAACCCTTCCAATAGCGTCTGTACTTCCGCCTCGCTTGTTGTTATAAATCGTTACAAGGTTTGTGCCATAAAAGTGGAGGAAGTGCACCATGTTGTTGTGCTTAATGAGAAGGGTGTGGTTTGTATAAGGCCGAAGCTCTAAACAATAAAAGTAAAATGCACCTTCAAATAGTGTTGAAAGGCATTGTTCAATATTGGAAATCATTGTGATGGCATGAAAAAAAAATTTCGCCTCTAATTATAAAATTTAAAGCTTCAAAAATAGTGTAGATCGAGGTGATCTATGAACACTTGAAAAACTTGAAAATTGACGGTCCGAAAATGCATTACAAGAGGCACTATGTCCAAGATTTGAAATCCATTTTTTCTCATGTCGATATAGATTGAGATCGAGATGATCAATTTGAAGATTTTTTAGCATCAAACTAACTTCGTTTAGTGAATTTTTGAGATGCGCTTTAATTTGACTGATTAGCGCCTCGCCCTAAACTTTTTCCTATTGGGAATTTGGACAAAAATAAATAAATATTTGTTAAGTAGGGTCCTAAATGCTGATGAATGACTTTATTTCATCTTTGCAATAAATGTTGCACGATCCACTTTAGAAATTGTATGTCATCTATAGAGTTTTTTTCTCTATTTTGAGCTAAAACTCATAAATTCATGACTTATCAAGTTACCTAATTTTTGGCATTCCATCCTTTTTGTCGCACGTCTTGTCATTTTGATAATCCACTCATGTTTAATTTTATTTTTAATTTTCTACCCACCAGATTTTCCATCCATGTTTTCTCATCTCTATATAAAACCATTTAAGCCTCATTTGAAAATTTCACGTAGCATAGAGAAACCCTCCTATTCTCTACCCTAGACCAAGAAACTTTACCTATACCTAAATGGTGCAGTTTGTATAGAGTCTAGGCTCTAAAGAATCAAATTAGAGCTTACTTTCAAATAATGTCAGAAAATGTGGTTTCAATACTGGAAGCTTTGTGATAGCCTTAAAATATATTTTCATATTTATTTATAAAGTTTAAAGCTTAAAACATAGTGTAGATCGACAGATCTATGAAAACTTGAAAATCTTGAAAATTGATGGTCCAAAAATGCGTTACAAAATACACTATTTCAAAAACTTGAAATCCATTTTTTTCTCATGTCCATGCATCTTGATATCGAGATGATCAATTTGAGGATATTTGGGCATCAAAACAACATCTTCTAAAGAAATATTTGATGTAGTATCAAAATTGATTGTTTAGAGCCTCGACTCTATATAAACTTTTCCCATACATAAATTACCTTCTTAAAAATCTAAAATTCCCTTAGAAAACAACTAAAAGTTTTCAAAAAATCCCATAAACCCAAGGGCATTAAAGTTACCCAAATTACCCTAAATTACCTTCTTAAAAATCTAAAATGCCCCTATAGAATAGAAAATACCTAAAAGTTTTCAAAAAAAATCCCCTAAATCTAGGGCATTAAAGTTACCCAAACTGAAAACCTCAAGCACCCAAAGGGAGAATCAAAACAGGAATCAGTTCTACTATGCCACTTTTTGGATCGCCTAGGTTCTAGACGAATACTTGACTAGATTTGCCAGTGGATCATTAAGGTTCAGTGTGTAGTCTGCATCAAAGTTAGAAATTCTACTCGAGATGGATTGAGTCCACCACTTTCCAGATCTGACTGGTTTCTAGCATCGAGTCACACTTTCTTTCTCGCTTAAAATGAGCAAGGCAGGGCTAAAATAATGACATCATAACTCTAAGATAAATTTTGAAGGGCTAAAATAATGACATCATAACTCTAAGATAAATTTTGAATTGATTTCTTCTATGACCACACCTTTTCACTAATACCAATGTCAAAGAAAATGGACTTATAATGACTATCATGATATAAAGTCAGTATGTGCAGTGAAAAATGACAAAATTTTTGAAGAATGTGGCTTCCAAAATAATAATGGTGATAGAGACCCGTAGTTTTGTTAGTGAGATAATATTTGAAAAATGACATTTATTTTAAGTGTAGTTTGTATAGAGACGAGGTTCTAAACAATTAAAGTAAAGCCCACTTTCAAATAGTGTGGAGAAATATGATTTTAATATTAGAAATCTTTGTGATAGCATTAAAATATATTTTCATCTTCAATTATAAAATTTAAAGCTTCAAAAATAGTGTATATCGAGTAGATCCATGAAAACTTGAAAATTTTAAATATTGACGGTTTAAAATTGTATTACAAGATGCACTATTTCCAACGTTTGAAATCTAATTTTTTGTCATGCCCATGCATCTTGATGTTGAGATGATCAATTTGAAGATATTTGAGCACCAGAACAACCTCTTTTAGTGAAATTTTTAAGGTGGGTTCTAATTTGATTGTTTAGAGCTCGGCTCTATATAAATTTTTTACATAAAATAATGACCATTATTTTCATAAATTTGAAAACAATAATTATTACATTTAAAGAAACATCACTTCAAAAATAAAAATATCATCATCATCATCATCATCATAGCCTTTCCGTAACTATTTGGGATCGGCTAAAATAAAATATGTATTTTCCAAATATTTCAAGTGTTTTATCAATTTTTCGATATTTCAATTATTTCCCCTTTTATTCTGCAAATATTATTTCTTAAAATATTCCATGTGTTTTATCCACCAGGCCCGTTACCACCCTTACCCACCAGTAGCCCTGAAAGGGATTAATGAAATTAAGACTAATGGCATCGAAGTCATTATTTTTTACCCATAATCTCTGATTCTATTTTTTAGTTTTTTTTCAGAATGTTGAATCACCTATTTTAGTCGTCTTTTTTTTTTGGAGGGGGTAAATAAAGGCTATGTCATTGGAGAATTGGGCTCCTACCCTTTGGTGAAAATAGAGTCATTTAGTCGTCTTCTTCTTAACCGGGCTGCGAGGCTCGGTGACTTTACAAAGCAAAATAGCGGTAGCATACAATGCATCAACAGAACCAGGCCAGGGGGATCTGATCTGACCTACTGAACCCTACTAGGATAACTAGGTCCGGGTCGACTAAAACCATATTCAATACGTTTAACATGCATGGTTCATGCTACTATGCGGGGTGATTCTTTCTTGGTT